TATATATATATATATATATATATATATATATATATATATATATATATATATATATATATATATATATATATATATAATAACCGTTTAAAGATGAGATTTTTTTTCTTTTTTTGTAATTTTTCTTTACATAGACACATCCCACGTCAGGTATTGCACCTTTTAAAGGTCTCAAGCAAAGTACTAGTTCTGTGATCTATCTATGCCTATTCGTTTGTTTTTCCTTATTCCTCTCTTGATTGTGTTTGGTTTTCCATATTCTTCTCTTGATTCTTGCACTTCACCACTTATTTCAAATCTATGATGATATTCCGTTCCCACAGACAAAGTAGAATCTTTACCAAAATAAATTTTACTTTCAAAGCAAAGGATCAAATTATATACGAAACTTTGAACTTAGATTTTCTCAAAAAAGAAAAAAAAACTTTGAACTTAGATTAGCATTAGAGAATAACCTCTAAATCTATTGAACCAAAGGTTACCTACTACTAGAATATCTTGATGCGTATATAAAACTTTAAATATCTAAATAGTATTTTCCCAGCTACTTTCTCACTATAACCTTATCAATCATATATTTACGTCACGACCGAACAACAAGGCTAAGGACATTTAACCATCAAACATATTGGAACATTGTGTTGTTAGTCGTAGTGTGATGTAACCGGTCCAACAAATATTGCCATAAAGATGACTAAAGTGGCGTCATATAGTACCTACTAATAGAGAAAAATAATACTCTTTGGGCTTTTTTTGGTCCAAGGTAATCGGTCACTCCAATATTGGTTTCTCTTTCGACCACATTATAGGAATATGAATAGCTGCTCATCCACATCTCAACAGTCATTTTATGCAAAATTGTCTTGAGGGTAGACAAATTTTACCAAAGAATTGTGTTGGATATTTAAGTGACTACAAGCAATGTATCACTATATATCTATGTGACTAGCTGTAATGTATCATGTGAATCATTACAATTATTTAAATGAATATTTGCAACCATTAAAGTGAAGCATTGTAATTGTTTAAATAAACAAATGCAACTGTTTTGATTGTAACTACTAGTAATGAACCATTGCAATCTTTTGGTGATAAACTATTGCAACCATTGATGATTAAAACCTTTGGTAGAGAGTTATTGTTACTTTTGGCTAACTATTGCAATTGTTGGTGCTAATAGTTGCAAATATTGGTGCTAATAGTTGCAAATATTGGTGCTAACCATTGCAACCTTTCATACTCTATATAAGGAGTTGTTGGCATTGAAAAATAATACAACTTGAAAACTTGAATCATGAGAAACATTAGAAACTAGTTAGTAAAAAGAGAGAGAGATTCATTATTCGAAGATCATCGAAAATCTTTGAAGAGATACATATAAGCATTAAAACTCTATTTGTTATTCTTGTATCTTAGCCTAGAACAAGAATGTGACTTTGACTATCTTATCCTACAAAGAGATTTCGTGTAACCCAAAGGCTTGAAATATGGTCGAAATACTCTTTAAGGAAAGTGACCTCGTGCGCGATTCAATCATTATCCAAGTATATAGTTCACACCCATTCGGGTTACCAACAAAACCAAATTAACCAACAAATGGTCCCAGAATTATTGAGATTGATCATATAACAAAGAGATATTAGTTTTGTCATCTCAACTTTGAGAATACATGGGTTACCTATAGTATCTCAAAAGTCATAATTAATGAGTAAAATATAAAGAATTTTTGTTCCAATAACACCATAGTTTGATAGAATTATAAAATAGGAAAATACACAATTTTTCGAATAACAACAGATTTTAAGTTGAGTTACAAAAGCATCACACCAATAACAAACAATTTATATCACTACAAGAAAACACGAGTTTTGCTAGGACGGCTTTTCCTCGTAATTTCCTAGTAAAAGCCACTTTACTAGGAAATTACAAGGAAAGACGTTTTGTCGCAACACTTTCATCGTAAAGCCTTTTTCTTCGTAATTTCCTAGTAAATTTACAAGGAAACGTTTCCTCGTAGAAGCGTGGAGACATATTTCTTCGTAACGTCCTCGTAAGGTTTCCTCGTAAAAGGCACGTAAACTTTTCTAGTAAAAGCCTCGAAACATAATCCTCGTAAACACGTCGTAATATATTACGAGGAAATTACTTTGATATGTTTTTCCGTATTAAAAGTAATAATTAAAATAAATAAATAATATATTATAAAAAATTCAAAATTCAAATTATAAAAAAAGAAATAAAAATATATTATAGATAACTAAATATTTAAATTTATAATACAATAAAAAAGAAAAAAAAACTAAACTACGGATGGTGCTCGTTAAATTGACGAACGAAGTCGTCATCCCGGCTCGCCAACTCCTCCTTGTCCATGTTGGTCGTCGTTGGTTGTGACTGTGACGGTGGAAGCCCTCCGTTTTCCCATCTAACACGCAACCTCTCCGCCAATTGCAGGTTTCAACCGCCATAACGTCCAGGATATCGGAGAGAGAACTCACATGAGATTGCGTCGCCTGCAACTCCGAGCGCAGCTCAGTAGTGACATCGTATTGTTCCTGAGTATAAGACGATGTCGCTGTGGGGACATCGTTAACGGAACCAATCCCGACGATACGTCACTTTTTCCTAGGGGCGACCTTTAAATAAAAAGAATAATAATGTTAAAAATAAAATAAATAAATAAATAAATAATAAAAATTAATAAGAAAACAAATTATTTACCTCCTCGTAAATCTTATCCACTTCAGGAGTGGATAATATGACGGGTGTCCTGGACTGCTGAGTCAGCTGAGTCTAGCGTTGGTCAACCCGAGCAACAACCTCGTTGTAGATTCGCTTAGATCTAGGATCTACAAAATGCCCACCCTTGTTCCGGTGGGTCCTCTCATAAGGTCTTTTAGAGATGAAAGAACTCCTGTTTTTTTTATCCTAAAAATAGTTTTTAAAATTAATTATTAATTAGGAGTGTATAAATAGATTAAAAAAACATTAATTAGTTATTAAAATATTAATTTACCATGTCTAGACGGATTCCCGCGTGAGGTTTTCGACCCCTGGTGTGAAGCATCTTCGTGTTGCCATGCTCATCTTTTGTCATGCGGTTCTCGGAGTTTGTGCTGGAGGTTCTGATCGATTCCGGCAACCCCCAATATCTGATGAGGCCATCCCACACAGCATATGTAAGGCAATTGGGTTTCTCCTCCTCATAACCATCTGCCTGAAAAAAAATTTTAAAATGATTTGAAGTCAATGATATAAAACTATATAAAATTTATAAATCCACACTTGAAAATCGCTCTTCCAGTTGTAGACCATGTCGAGCAATCGCGCTTTACACTTCGCCTCAAACTCCGTCTTCACCCGCTGGTGAATCCCTATATACCAACGATATTTTTGTTGTAACCAGAAAATATAAGATTAATTAGTTCAATAATATTGAAATTTTTAAATAATTAAAAATTAAATTAAGTTTATTAATTAATGACTTACGGCGGACGATTTGAACCACGTCTTTTTGGTGTGGCTGGGCGTCTTTTTCCAGTTTGGAGCTGGATCAGGAAAGTATCACTTGATACAATCGGTGACGCTCTGAGCGACACATCCATCAACATTAAACCTGAAAAAAACAAAATAAAAATATTAATTAAATTTGTTAATTTTTGGTTAGTTAATAAATTAATTATTTTTTTTTAAAAAAAATGAAACATACCAAAATATGTTGCGGCCGTCTCGTCGGAGAGGATCTAACTCAGGTAACCCTTCTCTGCCTGGCGTTGCCATAATATCCTCGATCGTGTACACTGCAAATGGAGCGTTTGGCGGCACGTCTAAATCAGGAACAACGTCTTCCAGATAGAAGAACCGGGGGCTGAAGAAGATGATGCGCCTATATGAGGACCAAACGCACGACCGAACCTATCTCCGTAATGACTCCCGTCAGGAGGCGGTCCCGTCTTCTTACCCTTAAACTTGCTCTGTCTAGGCATCTAAATTTTAAAAATAAAAATAAAACATTAATATACTAGTATCATTTAAGAAAACACTTAATCACCTAATCTAAATTCCCTAAACTAACTACCTAATCTAAATTCTCTAAACTAACCACCTAATCTAAATTCCCTAATCTAATCACTTAACTAGGAACTAGAGAGTAGCTTGAGAGGAATTTGAGAGAAGATGGCTACAAATGAGAGAAATCGGATGGCTCGAGTTTATATAGGGAATTTGTTT